AACAAGGCTAGACTGTTCAACCTCTACAAAGCCTACAGCAGCACAACGGCAAGAACAACGAGACACACAGCTCTTCCTGCTCCAGGGCCAACCACCTCCTCCACGGACACAGCCTGACTCACCAGCACCCCCTGGTGGGGGCCAAGTCGTATTGCCCTCTGTGCCTGCTCTCTATGTGTCTGACATGTCGCAGCTCATGTCAACCTTTCTCTCATCCCTGTGCTCACAGGCTTCACGAAATCCCCTTGCACATACATCCCTTCACCCCTTCTTCTTCTTCTCTACCTTCAGCAGTCCACAGCAACCCAGCTTCTGCTTACCTTCCTCCTTTAGCAGCTAACCCCGTAGCAACAGCGCCTCACCCAGTAACCCAAGGGGCCATGCTACATGCTAACCCATTAGCCGACTCTTACCCAGTACCTTCTTTCCCAACTGGTCTATCCTTTCCCCCCCCTCCCCCATCCCTACCCCATCCTCACTGTGCAACCAGCTACACTCTAGCCACAGCAACACCACCCATCCAGCCAGCCTCCTCAGTCTCTCGCCCTTCCCCCGTGTCCCCCGTCTTGCGCCAGCAGATTCTCCTAAGTAACTACGTAGACTTGGCTCAGCTACTACAGCCATCAATCATCGACACTAGCCGGCCCAGGGAAATGCAGACCAACTTCGGTTTAGTCCAGCTGCGAAATCCATCACCTCTGAGGTCTAAGGATTTAACCCCCGCAGAGTTCACCCTAGCTTTTTCCCTTTACCGCGACGTCATCTGCTCAGTCTATCCCACACCCAGAACCGAGTTGGACGACCTCCTCATAGAGCTCGACATGGCCTTACACTTCGGAGACTCAGGTTTTTACACCTACCACGTCCACTTTGCTAAACAAGCCGCAGGCCACATCAAGCAGTTCAACCAGGGAACATACTGGGGCGCTCTGGACTCCAAGCTTTACTGCCGCATCTTCGCAGCACGCGCATCCCTCTCTTGCCAATTATGCGGAGCCACCTCCCACCCGGCCTCAGCGTGCTCAGTCAGCGCCCCACCACCCGAGCCGCCCCGCTCACTCCCCTTTCCTTAAAGAGGCAACGCCTCAACCTTCAACCGCCTGTCACCTGCCGCACCCCCACCTCCCATTATTCCTAGGCCCGCAAACGAACGTTCACCAGCCAACGCCCCCGTTTCAAAGGGCGTCGACAGGCCAATCCTCTACCAGGGAGGCAGGATGGTGCGCAACAATTTCAATGACCTAGGCTGCTCTCTTTCTAGCTGCCGCCTCATGCACATCTGCTCTTTCTGCGGCGGCGCTCATACCAGGAGCACCTGCCCTCACAACCCAACTACACCAGCAGATTGACTAGCACGGCACCTCAGCACACCCGTCAAGATAAGCAACTTAGCTACCGCCTCAGTGAATCATCCAGATAGTTTGTTTACTTTCTCACCAATGGCTTCAACCATGGTTTCCCCCAGGCATAGCAATACTGCCTGACACATCTCACATCTGCCACAACCTTCAGTCCGCTTTAACAGAACCTCACACCTTCGACACCTTACTGGCCAAAGAAGTCAAAGAAGGATTCATGATAGGCCATTCGATAGTCCCCCCTTTCCAGTGTCCGCATCAGTCCAGTAGACATAGCTACTCGGAAATACTCCGGGAAAAGAGGCTCATAATAGACCTGTCTTCTCCACACGGCTCAGCCATCCCGAGCATTAACAGCGTCATTCCAAGCCCAGACTTTTCGATGCAATACGCAAACATCGACCACGCCATCACCCTCATCCGCTCAGCAGGCCGGGGAGCATGGCTCTCTAAGGCAGACATCACCAGTGCACTCAAGATCTTGCCTATTCACCCAGACTCCTGGCGTTTCTTTGGAGCGTACTGGAAGGGAGCCTATTACTTCTCAGTACGCCTCACATTCGGCTGCAGAAGCAGTCCAAAATCTTTGATTCCCTTTCAGAAGCTCTGTGCCGGATCTTGACAAACAACCACAGACTCCCCTATGTGCTCCATCTTCTTGACGACTTTCTCACTGTCACTCCACCATCCTCACCCCCCTGCCACGGGCTGAGCACACTCATACAAACATTTTTCAGACCTTGGCATTCCTCTGTCTGAAGAGAAAACCTCAGGGCCTACAACCTCCATTGAGTTTCTAGGCATCACCCTGGACTCAATGTCTTTCCAGGCTTCTCTACCCTCAGAGAAAGTACAGCGCATCACTCTCCTCTTGTCAAACTACTTATAGGCAGACAGATGCACGAAACGGCAGCTGTTAGCCCTCCACGGCAAACGACTCTCTCATATTCACACTCCGAAGGAGTAAAACGGATCAGCTGGGAATTTCTTCCCCCATCCACATCTTTACATTATATTACATTTAGCTGACGCTTTTATCCAAAGCGACTTACAATAAGTGCGTTCGACCAACAAATACAAACTTGAAGAAAACAGAATCATAAAGTACATCAGGCTTCATAGAGCTAAAACATTTCAAGTGCTACTCAACTGGCTTTAGATAAGCCAGTCCTTTATTAGTATATAAGTGCTTTGTTAGTAATTCTATCGCTCGAAGTGGAGTCGTGGAGAAAGAGATGATCTTCCGCCTGAACTCGTATCCCAGCCCATACGAGCCACTAATCAAATACCTCAGCGCAAGGTACGATGCACACGCAACGCCTCAACGCCCACTCTTTCTCACCGAAACAGGGAACGGCCACACGTTTCTGGTTCCAGAGACACTTCCACAACGTGTTGCTTATTTTGGGGATATGTTCAGAACATTATTCGAGCCATTCCTTCCGCAATGGTGCAGCGTCCACAGAAGCTTGTGTGTGTGTGTGTGTGTGTGTGTGTGTGTGTGTGTGTGTGTGTGTGTGTGTGTGTGTGTGTGTGTGTGTGTGTGTGTGTGTGTGTGTGTGTGTGTGTGTGTGTGTGTGTGTGTGTGTGTGTGTGTGTGTGTGTGTGTGTGTGTGTGTGTGTGTGTGTGTGTGTGTGTGTGTGTGTGTGTCAGACAAAGACGGTAAAACGTAATCCTTAATATGGATTTTGGATGTTTGAGTGGATTACAGAAAACATCATTAAGTCCCACTTTATTATTATTGATGTTAATTATTATAACGTGTTACATCATATTGTGTTGTATTACTCTGTATATTATATAACCATGTATTAAATTATCTTATCAAGTTGTTGTTAATGTGTTTGCTAACAGGCCAAAGTTTCTCTCCTTAATTATTCTGTGGACACGGCCAACACACACACACACACACACACACACACACACGCACACACACACACACACACACACACACACACACACACACACACACACACACACACACACACACACACACACACACACACACACACACACACACACACACACACACACACACACACACACAGGTGTTTGCCTCTCAGCAACATGATGCAACGTCTGCATCCTAGCAGCAGACCTATAGTGTCCAGCTTCTTCAGAGTGGATCATTACAGGCGGGGGGGCTTCCTCTCATCATGTCACAGCTCTCACTAACAAGCTGAGTCACATACACTGTTTTATTGGTAGTTCCCACATTGAATCTTTAAACGTAATTGTTGATGGTTGTTTCAGTTGTCTAACTATTGTCTTTAATAGTTGTCCTCATTATATTGAATGCTTTCAAGGTTATCGTGCTGATCTGAACACAAGTATAACATATGTAAATGTTCCTACACTTTCAGGCATGGAACCAGTAAGTCAATAATTATTCTGTATGAGTGTATTTCAATGTACTGATGTACTGAGAGTGTTGAATTCATTGAATATGTTATTCGTATGCAAGCTTATGCAAGCATTGATTAACATGGTGTATATGCTATGGATTATTCTCACTTACATTATCCTTCTATGTGATGATGCTATGCTGGCTGGGGCACGTTTAGCCTTTTTTTCAGGTCTTCCTCTCCTTCCTTTACCGGTTGGTCTTTGAATGCACCTCTCTTTTTGCTTTAGGTGCAAACACAAACATTTGAAATCTGAGTGAAATACTGTTTCAATAAGTGAGAGATGCCAGGATTGTGGTGCATGTAGTTTATGAGAAGGTCTTAGTTTGTGTACATCACTTCTTCGGTTACTTAGAATGTATAGTTACTATTGTCAGGTCCAGCTGTGAACGTTTGCCGTTCACATGCATGCAGGTTATTGTGGTTTTTAGTATTGTATGTGTTGAATTAGGACATGTTGCAGTTATATCCCGTCCTTTTATCCAGATACAGAAAGCCTGAGTAAGTCTGTGAACTCCTGTTTGAATAACTGAGACAGGCCAGAGCTTTGCTGCATGTAGTGTATGTGGAGGTGAGATATTCCCAGCACAATATTGTCCCGTACAACCATAGGAGATTTTACAATTCACATGCATGCATGCAGGCTGATTTTGTATTCATATTAATATATGAATATTGAGTGACATACGTTGTTTTATTGTTAGTACCTGGACACAGGTAGATAATCATACTGTATACATGTGTATACTGCTTCTGCATGCAAGTATTCGGGCACATATATGTATTTAACATAAGGAAAGAATATATTCTCACTTATATTTGACTTACTTCAAATGAGATGATATTGATTATTGTCTGCTTGTGACCTTTCCTTAAGTCTTGCTTCTCCTTTCTATAACTCTTGTTCTTTCTATGAATGTGTTCTCTGTTCAGGCCGACTTGCTAACATGAAGGAGGCAATGTGTACGAGTGTGAAATAATGTTTAAATCAATGCGAATTACCATCTTGGTGGTTCATGTCGTTTATGAGACTTTTTTCCTGCCCTTCATTTGTGTGCTTCTCTTCTCCAGCTACCTGAAGCTAAATTCAATATTGTCAAGTGCAAGTGTTAGGAAGGTTGTAATTCACATGCACGCAGGCTTATTGTGTGTTTGCATTACTGTTGGTGTTGAATTACGACATTTTCCTTTGAACATTTCCCTTATTGTGCATTTGTATTCCCCCTTCCTTCGCAGATATAGAGAGCCTGAATAAGTCTGTGAACTACTGTATGTGGAGGTGAGATTTTCCCAGATGTTATATTTAACATGGTCACATAGAACTGTTGGAGATTGCATGCAGGCTGAATTTGTATTCATATCTGAAATGTAGCTAACAGCATCTCATTAACAGTTCCTGTATTGTTCCTCTCTTTGGAGCAGACATGAAGAGCAACAGCAGCCTGAACCCTCCCTACTTTCAGTTGACTCTGTTTGCAGACTTTGGGCCCCTCAGATACCTGTTCTTCATCTTGTGTCTGTTCATCTATGTGACTATAGTCTCTGCTAACATGGTCATTATTCTGGCAGTGTTCCTGCAGAAGTCTCTGCATCAGCCCATGTATATTTTCATCAGCTGTCTGTGTGTAAACTCTCTGTATGGCTCAGCTGGATTCTTCCCCAGGTTCCTGCAGGACATCGTCTCTGACTCTCATTTGGTCTCACGTCCACTATGCTTTATTCAGGTGTATGTTATTTACACCTATGCTTCCTATGAGCTGACCATCCTCACCGTAATGGCCTACGATAGGTTCATTGCTATCTGTCAGCCCTTACACTACCACAGTAAAATGACCTTCAAATGGGTGCAGGTTCTTGTGCTCGTTGCTGTTTTATACCCAGTGTTTACGATGGGCTTCATTCTCTATCTTACTGTTAAATTACCGCTGTGTGGAAACAAACTGAACCGGATTTTCTGCTCTAACTGGCCTGTGGTGCAGCTCTCCTGTGTGGACACCACTCTGAACAACATAGCTGGTCAGTGTTTCGTGGTGACGACCATCTTCATCCCCATATTCTTTGTCCTGTACACATATCTACGGATTCTGCTGGTCTGCAGCAGGAGATCGTCTGAATTCAGAGGAAAGGCGTTACAAACCTGCCTGCCTCACATCATCTCCTTTATGACCTACTCCATCTCTCTCTTCCTCGAGGTGTCTTTGAGTCGATTAGAGGCTGGTCAACTGAATCCAAGCATCACAGTTATTTTGTCTTTAGCGTATCTGATCATTCCCCCCCTCAATAACCCCATCGTGTATGGCCTGGGTCTGCCTCAAATCAAAGGAGTCGTGTTGAGATTTCTGAAGAAGGGTCCTGCTGCTGAAATATAAAAGGAATATGTTGACCATGTTAGATTGTGTTTCCTATCATAATTATTTAAAGGGATACATGATTAGATAGAGATCAACATAAAGCACAACAACAATATTGTATATGATTGATTTAGCTTGAATTTCCCTCAAATGTTAAAATATCACTATTCTGTTAAATGTAATAGATTTAAAGTTAGAGCACATATTATGTTCTGCCTCTTCATGCATATTTAAGGTCAATATTAAAATGTATTTTTTTAACATATCCTCATAAAAAGTAGATTTGACAGGAATTCAGGTTTACTGTATGTTAGGCATTGTGATGTTACACCACTTACTGTTGTTATTGTGTTTTAATATTTTGTTGTGAAGCATTCACCCTTTGTTACTATAATGAAAATGTAATGATGATGTAATATATTCAATAAACAACAGTCTACAGCCAAGTGAGTCCCTGCTTTTTCACCTTCACTTAAAGGAAATGCTATTGTTAGCCATTTGGAACATGTTTAACCTTGAAGCATGCTAACATTAGCTAATTATCAGTGCAGCTGAGGATTATGGGAATTAATAATCTATCAAGCTTTCTATGTTTGGCCCCCTGCCTTAACTTTAATGTTATACGTACAGTAAATTACAAAGGTCGGCAGTTTTTTGTCCAAAACGTTTGCCTTGGTGAACTAATTTTGCAAGAACATATTTTGTGAAATGTTAGTAAGATTGGTCACTTTCCATGCAGGTTTAGTGTGAATGTGCTGTTTTGAAAAGAAAGTGGTTTGCATTAACATTTGTAATGTATCTATGATAGAAGTAGAATAAACACTAAATAACCAAATATAATATCACAAAAAGCGGGCCTGAAACCTGACATTCACTTTTAGGACCAAACTGACAGTTTTTCTTGTGGTCTTGGGTCAAAATGTTTATTTTCAAAAATATATTACCTTCCACGAAATTACATATGGAAACTTTCAGGGATTGTCACTAACAGCTGGCTTACTCTCGATCAGTGCTTCTCAAACGTTTTCATACCAAGGAAGGACCACTTAACCAATAAAAAAACACTCGCGGACCACCTAACTCCACAAATATCCAAAACCACATCGTTTTTTAGAAATCGCCTGAAAATGGTACAAACAAGTGGCCACATGTGTGATGAAGGTGTTTATCTGGGCTATATCATGCAATCGAAAGTTAAACTTAAGCTCGCTCCATTGCGGAGATATTCCCGCGAGAGTGCGGAAAACTTTAATTAATTAATTAATTTCAAATGTGAAATGTTACCAATATACTCACGGACCATTAGAGGGCGCTCACGGACCACCAGTGGTCCGCAGACCACACTTTGAGAAGCACTGCTCTAGATACACTGCACTTTTCAACAGCTCACCTATGGCTGGCAGATGACCATCACCAGTGCTCCAACCACATATACAACCCGATGGGCCCAAGCCCGTGCTACAAACGAAATATATACAAATGTACAGTATTTAAAAAAAACCTGAGCCGGCAGGCCAGCCAGACGCTCTCTTCGGCCTCTGTAAGCTTAGGCGCAATACGCTACCTAGAGCTTCACTGGCCCCGCAAGACGCTAAGGCCAGTGATCACAGGGGTTCAAGGAGCCGCTCAAGCTAGCCTGCTGGACGCGAGGCCAACTGACAGGTTCAAGTGGCACCCCCACACAGGCCACTCACAGCCGGGTTACCTGTTGGGAAACCATAGACAATATCTAGCGCTGGCTAGCACGCAAAACCAACTCCCCAAAGGGAGCGGATGAAGCCTTCTCGCCGCAGGCCCAAGGACCGCGTCCATGCACCTGGTGAAGGTGCGAGTGGGCCAGCGAGATCCCAAAGGGGAGGACACCGAATTCGAAGATCTTGTCCTTGCAGAACCGTAGGAATCGCCTGTGACCCTCCCAGATAGGAATCTGAAAGTAGGCGTCCCTGAGGTCTATGGTGGCAAACCTATCGCTTGCCTGGATTGCCTGCCTCACCCTGGGAATTGTCAAATGTTTAACTTCAGGGGCCGGAGAAACCGGTTGAGGCCACTGAGGACCAGGATTGGTCTTAGTCTCCCATCCTTTTTGGGGACGAGGAAATAGCGGGAATAGAACTCAGCCCGCCGATCCCCTGGCAATACCTCCCTGACTGCACCTTTCGCTAGGAGGGTGGAAACCTCCACCCGTGACGCCTCTGTGTGCCGCGGGTCCGTCACTGACGAAACCGTCGCTGATCTCGCCATAGGGGGAAGTCCGAGCAAACTGAAGCCGGTAACCCTGGGTCATGGTTGAGACCACCCAGTGGTCCGTGCTCAGAGCTGTCCAAACCATGCAACGGGCTTGTCACGATTCTTATGTCATGTCACGGTTTTAGTTTTGTGTCTGGTAATGGGTTTTGTTTTGTTGTTCTTTTCTCCCTGTGTTTTCCTCCCTGTCGTTAGTTTCCCTGGTGTGTCTGATTGTCTGATTGTGTTCACCTGTTGCCCTTGTGTTTCTGCCTCCCCTGCCCGGCTGTTTCTCGTCTCGTGATTACCCCTCCCTGTATTTAGTCTTGTCTCTTCCTGTGTTCCCCTGTCGGTTCATTGTTTGTCTTTCATGTCTCCCTTTATGTTGGTCACAGTCACCTTTTGTCAGGAGGAAGGCTGCGGCTGCCGGGAACCATGGCCCCGAGCTCTGCCACCACGCCGACCTGTCTGTCTTCGCCTGCTCCGCCTAGAGTCTTCCAAGTAGTTCCTCAGGTCCTCAGGGCGTTGCCTAGGGTATACAGCTTGAGCGGTTGATGACCTACACCCACCCCGGCAGCGGCCAAATGTACGGGAGATCTCCCGAGCACAACAGCGGGCCTCCTGAGCTTGTTGCAGCAGGACACTGGCCACCTGGCCAAACATGGCTGATGGCTCTACCGGCAGTTTCATAAGACAAGCTCGGTCCTCCTGCTGCAGCCTGGACTGAAAGAATGAAAAGAAGCTCGTCTCTGCGAGTCACAAGACAGGAGCTGATTGGTGGTCCTGCTTTACATTCACAGAGGGCCCGCTATAGTAAAACAACGAGAGAGTAATGTCAAGTGACAGTACAATTGACCAATCATATCTTCCCTCGAAATGGGTGGGCTTTATTATCGCAGACTTTATGACAAGTTCCGGCCCGCTGTGCTGCCAAGTTTATGCATGTGTTATAACACGGGTCAAGCTAGGCGGAAGTAGCTAATTAGCATACGTTCATTCACGATGGCTCATGTCAGTGATAGTGATGACATCGTTGCAAAACTACCAACCGAGTCATTTTCAAGAATGAGTTACACTGATAAATTGGAGTTAATTACCAAAGGGCGAGCAACACCACGGCTTAACTTAATCATTTTTTTAAAAACGGTTCGAGAGGCATTTTAATATCGACAATTACGCCAGATACAACTGGATGACCGGATCAACCAGGGAACCAAAGCTTTACTGCTGGGATTGCTTGCTTTTTGGAGCGGACAGTGGGTCATGGTCAGAGATGGATATTCTGATTTAGGAAGTTTATCCAAATCAGCACATCGCCATCAGAATGCTTCAGGTCACCTCAGAGCTACTATTCGCCTTAAAACATTTGGGGACACCAGGATAGAGCTCCAGCTGGATGAGCAACAATGCCGGGATGTCATCGCTCATAATGAAAAGGTGAAGAGGAACCGAGGAATTTTGAAACGCCTCATAAATTGTGTGGTGTACTTGGGCAAGCAGGAGTTGCCATTCCGAGGTCACGATGAGAGTGTAACTTCATCAAACAAGGGGAATTACATAGAGTTGCTGAATTTAGTGGCAGAATATGACAGCGACCTGCACACACACCTCGCCACATCAACACTCTTTACCGGCACGTCTTCGAGGATTCAGAATGACCTGATCAGCGCTGTTGCTTGTTGTTTTCAAAGCCCTAAATGGGCTGGCTCCGGCCTATGTAGCCGAACTCCTCCATCGCTACACCCCAGCCAGAGCCTTAAGGTCGGCTGACCAGCTGCTGCTGATAGTACCCAAGACCAGGCTAAAAACCAGAGGGCACCGAGCATTCGCAGCAGCGGGCCCTAGGCTCTGGAACACTCTGCCCCTCAACGTGAGGTCGGCCCAGACATTAGGGTTTTTTAAATCAACACTTAAAACTCACTTCTTCTCTCTGGCCTTCTAGCCTTTTCCTATCAAGCTCCACTTTTGTGGAATCAGCTTCCAGTTTGTGTTCGGGCGGCCGACAGCCTATCCGTTTTAAGAGTACGCTTAAGACCTTCCTTTTGATAAAGCTTATAGTTGATAACATGACCTAATGAGAGTGCTTTGACGCAGATACGCTGTGCCTCTTCACCTACATTTTGGTTCTTGCTCTTTCACTTAAATCCTAAAAACTTGGATCTTATATTTAAAACTAAGGTTATTACTACTCTTTCTATTTTTTCTTTATCCAAAACCTTTTCCCTCCATGACTCCAGGTTTTATTGGAGGGAAACAGGTTTGCAGAGGGGGCCTTATTCAATGCAGGGGAGTGTTATGCCGTAGTCACAGCGTACCTCCTTATCTCTCACCAATTCCAACTAAGGCCCCAGTGGGGACCTTGCTTCCTGCGTGTGCCTGTCTGTGTATTTGCATGTTCCGATTAACCGAGCCTCCCCCAAATTTTCTTTTTCTTTTGTGTCTATATCTACGCCGGGATCCGGAGTCGAGGCTGATCCTCTTGCTGTGGTCCTGTGCCCTGGATCCTCTATCCTGAGTTCTGGATTAAGTCGTGGACTTCGGGTCGTGGCTGAACCTGTCACTGTGGTCCTGCCTGGGTCTCGTCATGCTACTTCCCTGATGGCTCCCACAGGATTGTTGACATCCCCGTGGATTCATCTTCTTATTAATGACACATGCATTTCCTAACATTTGGTCTACCTACGCTGTAAAATGTATTATCTTTTCGATTTACACACGGCATCTATTTCACGTCTGTCCGTCCTGGGAGAGGGATCCCTCCTCTGTTGCTCTCCCTGAGGTTTCTCCCATTTGTTCCCTTTAAACTGTGG